TATATATATATATATATATAGTTTAAGAACCATAGAATTTTTGAGATACGTGAGATCCAATATAAATCATAAATTAAATTAAGAAATTAATATTTTTTGTAATTTTGAATTAAAATTTTAAATAAAGATTATCATGGATAATTTACAAATGTTCTCTCTCATCTCTCACCTTTTTGCCCCTCATTAACAAAATAACCTAAAAAAATAAAATTAAACCTAACAAGTAACATAATATGTTGTGAACACCTGGTAACCTAACAAGTATCATAAAGTAATACATCCTGATTAAAAGTAAACATAATGTGAACACAAAAACACCAAAAATATAAGACCAAAAAAGTACAAATCACTAAAGACATTTTGTAAGGATTTAGATACACACTATGAACAAAATAAATAATCAGGTTTGAAAATCAGTCAATAATCTCTGCTTAACCCAAAACAAAAAATCTATAGTATCATAATGTGAACCACTTTCAAATATATTGTTTCAATCAGAGATGTTCCAATCTTTTTGGAGGTCCTGCTTACATCCAAAACTTTTGATTACATTGAATAAATGAGATAACAAATAATATATGTTAAGAACAAAAATGGGCTAACCTAAAACAATTAACAATCTGAAACTAAACCTAAACCATTAATGATTTGAACCTAAAACCCAAAAATTAATGGTTTGAACCTAAATAATTTCGGCTACAGTTTTACACAAGTCGATAAAAGACCCTAAACACATGTAAATTTGTCCCCAAAATTTCGAGGGCCCTATTCAAAATCTCACATTTAACATGTTAAGGGGAGGCCCTGGTTTCAATTAAACATTGTGATCACCCATTTCTTTTACACATTTTAATCATCTTGTGAACACAATATGACACAATGACACTAAGGACAAAGAAAAAAAAAACTAAAGATCCCTAAAAGTATTGTGTAAGGACTTGAATACACATTATGAATATCCATATTTTTACACATTGTGATCATTTTGTGAAACACAATGTAACTCATCAACATTAAGAACTAAAAACAAAAAAAAATCATTAAAAGTATTGTCTAGGAACTTGGATACATATTTAGAACAATTAATTAATGTTCTATTTGAGAAATTATAAATTTTCTATTTATAGAAGTTATAGATTTTCTATTTATTGGGAGAATAAATAACTAAATGCATCTATGAGTTGACTAAATTGTCTTTGATTTTTATTTAATAAATAATATAATTATCTTAAATTAGTGGTTCATATTGGATTTCATGAATCTCACAAATTTTAGGTTTCTCATTCGATATATATATATATTTGTGTGTCCTTTTTTCTCCTTTCATTTCTCAAATTTCATTCTCATTCTCAAATTAATAGAACTAATTTACATATTTTTTTTCTGAATTAAATTTGGAATTAATGAATACGAGAAAAATTTAATTATGATCGAATCTGGTATTTAATAAAGAGAAACTCCATTATTTGGTAGTCATTAATTTAAACTAACAATACAACTCTATTTAATTATTTAATCAACATATATGAGTTAAAAGAGTTGAGTTCTAATAAGAAGTGTAAGAAGATATCTCCATCATCAGATCCATTTTTCTTAAATATCAACACTAATGAAATTAAAAGTGATCAACGGTTCAAATCTTTTCTTATGCTTTTCACCACAACTTCATTTTTCACACGATCATTTACCATGAGTTAAAAAGAATAATTAAGATACATTAATTAAATAGATGATAGAATCTAAAAATCCCATAGCCTTTATTTCTATGGGATATAAAAATGACACTTTACCATTTTATATCAATTCAATGCGAAAACTCATACCGATAATTAATCGACCAAAATGTATGAATACAACAATATCTATGTATGATTAGTCGGGATTACAAGTAATCAACGTTTTTTCGTTCATATATGATCAATATGTCTATAATTAAGTGTTAAGATGGAATTTAGTCGAATATGTTAAAAAGTCAAAGATACGAGAATTAAAAAGTCAACTTTTGGTTGTTTGACTTGTCAATTCCAAAAGAATTTTTTTAATTTAACGATTTGGTGTTGCTTTGATAACGGGAATCAGAAGTTACATAGTCTTACTGGACATTGATGTCGTTTATCAACCAATCATCTCATCAATGTATAAATCCTTCCGTTACTTGTTAGTTTTCAACCTCAGCGAGTAGTTATGGATTGATGAAATACAATAAATTAAATACGTTGTTTCAAATAAATCGTTGTTTATTATAGTTTGACAAACGAGCAAAACGGGGAGAAAACAAACATTCACCTGAAAACCTAGTGGGCTACATACCTTTTCTTCTAAAACCGATTGTTCCTATAAAACACGATATTTTATAGCGTCCTCTCTTAAAAAAATGATTCATTCGTATCGAAAAATCACGTGAAACGATTCACGGTCGATTCTTGCAAGAAACTTGAACAACACGAAGGAAGAAATTTAGATGTGGCAATTTTGACATCCTTGATCAATTGACCAAAAATTTTAGCTTTGACTTCACCTCTTCTTGGTGGAAGGTTTGCAACCCTTGTTGTTTCTTGGCCTTTCTCTTCAACCCATTTGCTTTGACTTGCCATTAGTCAAACCAAGCACTTGGTTTTGGAGGAGATAGAGGAGGTGGTTTGGGGTAGAGGGTGTGATGATCATGGAGTATTTATAGTCAAATAGGTTCACACACAGTGAGTGTGTTTTATATGTGTCATGACCAGGGTTTTTTTTTTTTTTTTAAACTAGGGGATTTGACTTTATTGATTTTGACCAAAAATCTATAGATTAATAATATAAAAATTAATATTTAATTTTGATATATATATATATATATATATATATATATATATATATATTCATCCTTTTATAAGACCCTTACATTTATACGACCTTTTTTTTAAATAATGTCTTATAAAATAGTTAACACGGCATTTTATTTTAAAAATATTCATCCTTTTAATTCAAGATGGCATAAAAAATTTAACTTCTAGAAAATAATTCCATTATCTATATTATATTATAAAATATTTGACAAAAGCTCTTAAAAATCATTTTTTATACATAAAGTACCGTGTATTAATGCATATTATTTAAAATTTAAGATTACAAGTAAATTATGCGTAAGTACAACTTATTAAAATTTCATTTTTGAATTCGTAAAACTAACCGCAGATAAACATAACCAAATACAGAATAAACATCTCATTTTAAATATAAAAAATTTAAAATATAAATAAGATAATCATTAAGTTCTAACAGAATCATTATCTTTATAAAAAGTTTGTTGTTAAGCCAAAAAAAATTACTTCACTATTTGACATAAATTAAATTAAAATAAATAATTGAATTAAAGAAAATTGTACAAAAAAATGAGAAATTTTAAATAGCTAATTTGATATTAATATCGATATATTTTTTAAAAATTTATGATGTCTTCAAATTTATTTTTATTCAAAACTAAAAACATTATCTTTCTTAAAACCACGTAAATCGTATTATATCAATATATATAAAAAACAAAATATTAAAATGAAAATATATCTCATTGTATATAATATTACGCGAATACCCTTCTAGTATTATATAAATGTAGGTAAAATGGGAAATGATGGTCACTGCCTCACTGGTCAAACATAAGGATAAGCCAAAGTCAAACATTTGAATAA